AGCCTGGCACTTTGAACTCAGACTTCTAGCCTCCAGAACTGTAAGAGAATAAATTCCTGTTTGTTAAAGCCATCCCATTTGTGGTATATCCTTGTCAGAGCAGTACTAGATAACCAGAACAGGTAGGGATCTCAGTGGAAGGACAGGTGATGGTCAGACATGGAGAGGTAGGGGTAGTCGAGTGGAGGATTAGGCAAGGATCTCAGATAGCAGGCAGAGGCATAGATGGATGATCAGACAGAAGGGAGAGACATGGAGTATCTGAGATGGGAGGCAGGGACCTCATTCAGAAAGTGGAAGGATACATGGATGGTTGGACAGGATAGAGACACAGTTAAATGGAGGAGAATCAGGGATCTCAGACAGATGGATGCTCAGACCAAGGATGGTGGTAAATATAGATGATCACATAGATGGGGAGGAGACACTCGAGCCCTGATCCCTGTCTCTTCCACCTTCACTCTTGTCACAGATCCGCCGGGCCCTGCTGCAGCTGTTCTTCCCAAACAAGGCTTTCAGCTGGGCACGGCATGTGGCCATAGCCCTGGCCCTGTTTGTCTTTGTCAACATCCTCGTCATCTGTGTGCCAACTATCCGGGATATCTTCGGGGTTATTGGTCAGTACCCTCAACCCTGGTTCTAGACCTCACCTAATATGGGGCCTTGCTTGTACCCCAGTCCTGGGTTGACTCTTGTCCTTCTTGTCCTCCAGGGTCCACTTCAGCCCCCAGCCTCATCTTCATTCTTCCCAGCATCTTCTACCTCCGCATTGTACCCTCTGAGGTGGAGCCCCTCTGCTCCCGGCCCAAGGTCCAGGTGAGCATTCCAGGAGAGACCTGGGGAAAGGGAACATTCTGAAAAGGAACATTTCAGGATGGCTGAAGACAGAGGGAATATTCTCAGAGAGAGCTGGGGGAAAAAGGAGCACCCAGGGAGTGGGAGATGGTCTGGAGGACTGGAAGAGATTGTCTTAGGAAGGAACAGAGCAGAAAGAGCACCAGCAGGGTTCTGGGATGAGAAGATAGAGGGAACATTTCAGAAGAGGTTGACTCTGAGTGACTAGTGCATTCAGGATTGTGCATAGAGGGAGCATTCTTCAGATGGATGGAAAGAATGTTATTGGGTCGGGAGCATTTTCAAGAGGAAGGATGCAAGAGAGCCTTCCCTGGAGTTCTGGGAAGATGGAAGGAGAATTCTCAAGAAGGGGCTGGCTTTGAGGAAGAAGAGGGCTCATTAACGAGGGTCAGAAATGGATGGAGCGCTCCCTAGACAGGATGGAGGGCTTAAAGAACACTCTTAGGAGGAGCTCAGGTGAAAAGGCCCAAATGGCTCCATCTTTTCTCCCTCTTGCTTACAGGCCCTGTGTTTTGGTGTTCTGGGGATCCTCTTCATGGTGGTCAGCCTGGGCTTTATGTTTGCCAACTGGGCCACAGGCCAGAGCCATGTGTCTGGACACTGATCTTGCCCTGCCTTGCCCGGGGCCCTCTGCACGTGTGTGTGTGGAGGCAGATGGGCTACTCTTCCGGCTTCCTCCTGCCTGATGTGTAGAGGTGGCTGTTGGAGGCAGCAGGTATCCAACAACAATAACAATAGTATGTTGTTGTTGTTGTTATGTGCTGTTGAGTTGGAGCCGACTCATAGCGACCCCTCCTTGGGTTTCTGAGGCAGTATCACTATGGAAGTAGATTGCCCCATATTCCTTCCGAGGAGTGGCTGGTGGGTTTCAACCGCCAGCCTTCTGGTTAGCAGTCAAGTGCCTTAGGCACTATGCAACCAGAGCTCCTAACAATAGTATAACATGATATAATTGATGTCTGAATTGTACACATGAAAAATACTGAAATGGCAAATGTGTTATCTATATTTTTGTAACAAAAAAAGCCAAAATTATCACCTGAAGTCTTTGAACCAAAAAGTAGCTTATCTCAATTAATAAAATGTTTGCCTTGAACATTATGCTCTTTTAAAGAATTATTTGTTTGAGATCAAATTGATGATGGCAACTTGAAAGGTTGGATGGGAAGCGCAGGGAGCAGTGAGTTTAAGCTAGTGGTTGGGGGAATAATTTGGAAAAAGATAATGAGAATGGTAGTGCAACTTAATGTGACTAATGTCACTGAATTGTACATATAGAAGTTGAAATGGTGTATCTTTGGCTGTGTGTAACCCCAACTCACTGATATCAAGTCAATTCTGACTCATGGTGACTCTATAGGATAGGGCAGAACTGCCCCATAGTGTTTCCAAGGCTGTAAATCTTCATCAAAACAGACTGCCACATCTTTTTCTTGCAGAGCGGCTGGTGGGTTTGAACCACCAAACTTTTGGTTAGCAGCCAAATGCTTTAATCACTGCACCACCAGGTCTCTTTGGCTGTGCATACTTTCACTTAAAAAAAAGAGATGAAGATGATATCCTTGTTCTCATGCACAAGTAGAGGGCAAGATCTTACTGTTTTATAAAACACGATCAAAGAACCTGTTTTGATAATGATGTTAAACTGAGCACTTTCACAAGAATTTTGATCATATTTTCCATCCAACATGGAGATCTATGTGAATAATTATAACTGGTTCTCTTCTCTGTTTATATAAATCTCGGAGGCTCTGAATGTTTCAGGAATTGATGTCATGCTGAAAAAAAAATGTTGAGCCTCACTTAGAATATTTTCCTGGGCTTTACCGGTACTTTGGATTTATTGCATGCAGCACTCCCTCATATTTTTAATTTATTTTTTGAGGTATATTTCACATACAAAATTCACCGTTTTAAAGCAGTGGGTTTTAGTATTATATTCAGGAGGTTGTGCAACCATTATCTCTATCTAATTCCAGTACATTTTCATCACTCCATGAAGAAATGCCATACCTGTTAGCAGCCATTCCCTATTCTTCCCTCTCCTCAGGCCCTGGCAACCAGTAATCTACTTTTGATCTCTATGGATTTGCCTAAACTTCATTCCTTTTTATTCCATTTTATAGCTATACCACTTTTGTTTATCCATTCATCAGTTGATGGACATTTGGGTTGTTTCCACTTTTAAGCTAATACGAATAATGTTGCTGTGAATATTCATGTAAACATACTTGTGTTGACATGTATTTTCAGTTCTCTTGAGTATATGGAGAGGAATTGTTAGGTCATATGGTAACTCTATGTTTATTCTTTTGATGTGCTGCCAAGTGTTTTCCACAGTGACCGTATTATTTTATATTCTCATCAGTGACATACAAGGGTTCCAATTTATGCACATCCTCATCAACACTTGCTATTTTCCATTTATTTTTCTTAAAAGGGTTATAGCCATCACAGTGGGGGTGAAGTAGTATGTCATTGAGGTTTTTTTTTTAAAGTGCGTTTTATTGAAATATATATTATGTACAGTGAAACACACAAACCTAAAGTGACATGGGTCAATGCATTTTTTTTTTTTTGCAGTGTTCCCTCCCCTCCCCTCCCATTCCTGGCAACCAATAAAGAAATTTCCCTCCATATATAAACCTTTCCTTGACTCTCCAGAACAACGAACTAATACTATATTTATCCTTCTCTGATTGACTTATTTCACTCAGCATAATGTCCTCCAAGTTCATCCATATTATGTGGTATTTGGCAGACTCTACATTATTCTTTAGTGCTGTATAGCATTCCATTGTGTGTATGTACCATAGTTTGGTCATCACTCTTCTGCTGATGGGCATGTAGGTTGTTTCCATCTTTTTGCTATTGTAAATAGTGCTGTGATGAACATGAGTGTGTATGTATCTGTTCCTGTCCTGGCTCTCACCTCTCTAGGATAT